ACTGATGAAACAAAACAAACTGACAAGCTTGAGAAAGAACATTAACTTAAATATCAATCAAATACAATTTTATCAAGATTGACGTAGGAAATTCGAAGACCGGAGAACACAAAGATTCATCAAAAACCAAAACTGAAGTTTTTAAATGGATAACAAGCATCAAACAGAATATTAACTTATTTCTTATATCTAGACAATCTGTGATAACGAGACTTGAGACCGCAATTAGATAGTTTACTAAATGTGCAATAGAATCTTAATTATAACCTATATCCTCATATTACTAATATGCTCTTTGAGATGTTACGAGTATCATCCGTATCCATTACCAGTTTATCCCCAATACTACTTTTATCCTTCGTATGATTACGAAGAATTAATACCTCACAATGGTACTACGAATTATACTGTCCAAGTGATACAGGTTTATGTACAGCCCTCTGAAATACCTACAACTATTTCGCCTGATAATAGAACATCGTGTAACATATGGTGTTGGGTGAGAAGAGTAGGTTTTTTTGTTGTACAACAGTTATTAGCCGATAATAGAAACTGATAAAATAATATAATAATAAAATAATAATACTCTTGAAAATAATTTTGGTTTTTTGTTATTCAAATCCCCTTGATGGTACTTCCTCGTTTCTTTTTTCAACCATCCTCTCCCATACATAATCTACCATAAGAGCGTCGTGTAAGTCGGTATATTTGGCTGACTTAAGAAAAAACTAATAAATAACTTCTTTAATTGGCACTTTAATTTTGAAGCTTTTAACGGATAAACAAGAAGCCACAAGACGCTTTGTCGAGCCTTTGAAACCTTATCAAAACATTACACAACTCGGTTAAAAGTCGTACATAAATATAGTTATATATGTCGAAGTCAAGACACTGAAGAGTGGTATCTACAGTGACTTCAATTGACTAACACTGCTTGGTGTATTATCATAAACGTATGATGTGTTAATTTTTATATAATATTAAACTTACTTTTCTGTGCGAGTTTCCTAAATGTAAAAACTACTCATATTTCATAGAAAATAATCCAAAGCACTATTATTTTTAAATCCTAAACAAGTAAAATTAAACTGAATGGGCAAATATATACGGAGACGGCCTCAAAGTGGTATTATCTTAAATCAACACCAGTTGGACTTCAAGCAGTTCCGAACAACACTCGACCCAAGTTCGTGAACAAATAGGGGTGAACTAAATTAAGAAACGGTTGAAACTTTAGGAATTAAAGAGTTCCTTAGTGGGGAGTGAACGATGCTTGAATGCGAATAATTCTAAATAAAGCCGTAGATAGCAGCATTAACGGGATTCTGTATTGATTAATAAGTTAACGAAGGGTTTTGTGCCTTAATCCTCTGAATCTCGTCAAATTTTATAGTAGATGCATATTAGATGTACAAAGAGTGTTAATCTCTGTTTTCTCCTTTTAATTCTGCTTCTGGTACAGTCCCAAATAATGTGTATATATAATAACATGGCCTGTCCTTTGTGGACCATGTTCTTCTAATAAAATGAAAGTGATGCTAAGATAATATTAAATATTGTTAATTTAAAACGATAAAAAAAAACATTTTTCGTAGTATTTTTTCATATTTTCCTTATCTTCTCATAGTTTATTGGCAAGTTTATGACTGTAACAAGCCTAAGTTACATGGTATATATTTAGCATTAAAAACGTATTTTTTACACATTATTCGTAAGTTTTACACAAAAAGTCAAATGATCAGAAAACTTAAAGGTGATTAATTTCTCAACGATCTCAGATGGCCTATTTATATTTTCTTTCATAAATTACTTCGAAAGTTTAAATTTTAAATTTATGAAAGTATAAATTAGTTGAAAATATATATTACAACCTCGGTTAACCAAGGTTGTAATTTACTCGTATTATACATAGTTTTCGGTACGTTAACATTAATATTGATGGATATAACAGGAATAAATCATACCTTCATACTGACATTCAAAACCAAATACCGAATCCAGTCAGTACAATATACCAATAGCTAAAAGTTAGGAAATAAATCAGTCTCGCACATAGCATGAACCCAACTTATTACAATTCGTGTCTGTACAAAAATGTGACCGCCAAGTTTTCGAGTTCAAGCCTATTTTATACGTAATTCTATTCTAATAAAAAAAAACTTTTATACAGTAAAGTAAAAAACACAGAAAGCACTCAACATATTAGAGAAACCAAAACTATACTTACAGTTTCTTATTTTCTAAGGGATTTAATGTACGATATCAGACATCTGTTTATATTTTGTCAGTAACTAGAAAGGTTTCGGGCTACTCGCATCAACTACAGGTATAAACAACGAAGATAAAATTAGTAGAAATAAACAAAGTCATAAAATTCCTTTCATAGCCTCAATCGGTATTTATCGCTCTTGTTTGTGAATACATGTACATAAATGTTAAGTATAGATTGCACGGAATTGTTTCTACCTACCCCAAAGGCTATAAGACCCTATTTCAATAACAACAATATCCCTTAAAGTAAACTTCATGGTAAATATTAGTCATGGTGTGCTTGGATATTTGACCTTCTTATTTTTCTTTAGAGAGATGCAATTGTTGCAAAGGCAAAGTGTTTTGATATCAATTCTAGTACTCAAAATCTAAAAAAAAAACATATTAACATTTAGTACAGCGAGTGTGCAGTAGTAAATCAAACTGGTAACTTCAATAATATACTTTTTAATCCACATAGATGGTCATAGATTTGACTACTAAAATGTCTCCCTGACACCTGACATGTAATTCACAAAGGTAATTAAAATAAGCGGTTAATCGCTCTGATCTTCATTAACGTCAAACGTTATAGTTCTTGTTCAAATTTATCAATACATGATTCGTTTATCGAAATAAGTTTAACTGAATTTAACATTTTTAAACCTGCTATGTACTTTAACAATTACTTTTGATTTCTAGCAATACTTGTAAAATAAAGTATTTATACAACACTTGAATACAATTTACACCAAGTTTCTGATACCTGTATTATACATAATATAATAAACTACGGTAATATACTGCACAACTCTTTTTATGCATGTAGAATTTACCTTTAAGTTATTTTTACACTATTTCTATTTTTCATCTTGATGTGATTTTTACTTTGGAAAACACTTGTGTAAACATTTGTTATTGAATCAATGAATTAAAAAAAATATGTAATGTGATCAATATTTTTATTCTATTCCCTTTGTGAATGAACAAACTTTTTACTTAAAGAAGAAAGCAATCAAGTTCCGAGCGGTCAATAAATAATAATATATATCCTATTTTACGCCCCTTATTGATCATAAAAAATACTTTTTGAGAAGAATCGTTGGAAAATATTGAAATAAATTTTGCGAGATCGCTATTAATTTTTAATTGTATTTCAAAGACGTTAAATCATTTTTATTGTAGTAGGTACAGTTAAAAGGACCATTGAGCAAAATTAATTGAACCCGAAAGTAATTGAAGGATTCATGTATAAAAGTGGATGAGACACTATTAATTACAAAATGTCGTCGATACCTACATTTTCTTCATATTATATATCCAATTCCTATTGTTTATTCTAACATTAAAAACAATACGATAAATCACACCACCATGGCATTTCTTCTGGATTGTTTTTGAAGATATCCGAGAACATTACTACTCTACGGTGGAGACCGGGTGTTCGCTCACATTCTCCAGGGTGCTCGTGGTGTCCTACAAAGAACACTCGCTCTTTCCTACCTTTATACAGTTCATTACCCTTATTAAAAAACATAAGGTCCACCATGTTTTAGAGAAGACAAACCTACCCTCAAGCCCCTACCGCATAGGGCACAGATGGCGCATTAGACATCCTAGATATGCGTACACGTGGTACTAAATGTCTAAATGATATTACTAACACTAGGCTAAGATTTGATTGTTGCTAATATTTTTAGGGACTTAATAAGAAATCAACCATTATCATTGCCAATACAACTAACAAGACATAGACCTAGTAATAAGGATTCCCAATTTGATAATGGATCCTTAATAGCCATATTTTTGAGAACGAAACACCTGGCAAAAGTTCTTTTTTACGTTACGTCGTCTTTCTGTCATTTTTCATCCGTCTCTTATCGAAGCCTTCCGAACAATAGCCAATTGTTTTGCAGATTTCTAAGAGTATATAAAACATTAGGCCACGAATTTTGGAAACAATACGTTTCCTGGTGTTACGAAAGCAAAATATCGAATTTCTTCTGTTTCAGCTTCCAGTAATTTTCTTCAGCTTGACTAATAATGTCAAATCGGCCAAACCTGTAACTTAGTTTAGTGTGATATACTATTGATCCAAATACTTCGTAAATTAAGGTCTACAATGGAAAGTAAGTTAAAATTTTATTTAACAAAAATAATTTCAAAATCGTATAAAAGTCACTCGCAAATGCATTTTAAAATTAACTAGGAAAAGTTTTGTAAACGTTAGAAGTTTATAACTTAACAACATAATGACAATGTTATTAGTGACAATATTAGAAAGGAAGTGTTTTTTACTGACATATAATGGTGCTTACAAAATTATTATTAACAATTTGTGTATATAACTAGTGAAATCTAGCAAAGATGAATGATTAAAAACTGTCTTCACAATTTAACATCTATCAAAATTGAATGATTTCCCTTTCGGCAGATTATACGTCTTCTGTGAGTTCAAAAGCATTAGGTTGATAACATTATACATTGCAATCCTTTCAGAAATACTCATCTTTACGACATTTATGTCGTTATCAGCTATAGTATACAGCTACAAAACAAAATATTTCTCTCAAAGTTTGGATTCAGAACCTCCCATCTCAATTTTGTACGCGCGTGACAAGAACAGTGACAAAGTAACAAACAGATGTTTGACCGAAATGTATCCACGCAACTTGTACAAGTATCCGTTGCGTATCGATAGGAACGACATTCCTTGTATCATTCATTGTGTACTTAAAAAGTTCGGCATCATGACAAACGACGGCTATATTAATATAAAGAATTACTACAGAAGAGTACAGGCAATTCATAGGTACGATCCAAGGATTCTCATTTCGGATGTCGGAGAGACTTGTGCTCAAAATATTAATGGCATGAACTTGGATCATGATGTATGTAAGAAGGCAAAGGTGTTTAACGACTGCACGCAATTGTACGCAGTTTCATATCGAGATCCAGAGGAGTTTATGAAGTAACTACCATCCTGTATATATTAGACGTATTTATTTTTATATTCTGTTTAATAAAATTGTAAAGACCTTTTCTTTTTTCATTGTTAGGGTGTCCCCTAAAAGTCAAATCTGTTTAGCATATTATGCAAATTAAATCATATTTTTGCCTCGCATTTTCGAAACCTGATTGTGTTTATTATAATATTGTAGAAATTTCGTTGGACATAGCTGAGGTTTTATGCATGCCTCAAATTTTAGTAATATTTAATGAAGTACTATTTTGCACTGTAATGCCAATCCACATGTATAGGATTATATAGCTATAGAATAGCATGGTAAATACTACTGTTTTTTTTGCAAACTACAATGAATTGCAAAAGTTAAAGTCCTCTTCGACGTTGTCTATTTATCTACTTAAGCACAAAAATCTCAACGACCAGAACATTTCAAGACTTAAGAGCTGATGACAGGAAAAAAGCTAAAGGCTAGAGCTTGGTATTATCGTTTATGCCAAAAGTTTTTTCAAAGGCAAGGCAGCGTAAAAATCTGCCTTCGCCTTAAAACGGCTCATGGACGTATCATTTTTTCTTATTGTTACCTATATTTCTGAAATATATCTATTGACAGTTCAAAAGAAATTCGACTTTGATTTACCTACAGGGCACGAGGCAAACCAAGTTACCTGCTAATGTGTTAAAGTAAACAAATGATCTTTTTGTTCTCCCACATGAGAATGTTGTAACGTAACAAGTGAAGCTAATATAAAGCGTGTAAAAAGCAACTCATATCGCACATAAAATTCATATTCAGAATTTGTGAAACTGTGTGTTGTGAGCGAAGAAAGCTTAACGTGAACTCTATTGTTTTTTTTTGTTATTATTGTTTTTCTTGCTATTTATTATTAACAAAGCTAGCAAGCAATCGTCATCAACAAGGAGAACCTTTCAGAAATACAAAATCAGTGGTCGATATTGTTGAAAACTGAAATATTCATATAATATGGCACGTCCATCTGGAACTAACAATAAGGAACCATATAACGAAAACAGTATACACTCTATCAATATTTTATAAGATTTATTATACAACAAGACATTCGAAAAAAAAAACCTAGCTGTTGCCCGTTCCTAGTTTCATGTCTTCTTTTAAGTTTTACCTTGCTAACTTCGTTCCAATTTTCTCAAAGAATCTTCAAAGAAAATCTGTTGCAGTCAAAAATTGTGTTGTTTAATCAACGGAATGGTTTACTGAGAACTCTTTCTAGATTAGACACGCTTCTTACACCTCTCAATGTTGCTAGATAATAACATATAATCGTCTCAAACAAAATAACTAACCAACATTGCGTTAGAAAATTGTTTTGTTTCATTGTGTTTGCTTATGAACAACACTCCTTGAAACACATTTAAGTGGTAATTGTGTACGCTAGCTCGCATTTTCTCGAATATTACAGTGATAAACGTTCCAATGTTCTTTATTCATCCTCTGAACGTTTTTAAAATATCTGCGTGTTGTCTTTAATTTCTACATGTTAAAAATATGCACACACATATTATAATTATGTACTCTTAAACACATTCTCGTCACATTTAAAATGCGATATGTGAAAAAGATGTGGGTGCACACTTGGATGTCGGTTTCAATGATTTTGTTTTATTCAATGCAAACAATTTGGTTTAAGATTTTTGAAAACAAATACAATGAAACCCACACATTTTTACAATTTTCTTTTTTTTTCACATTTATCACTAGGTTCATCGTCATTTATTAAATGTAAAAGATTACTTAATTGAATTTTATTTTTGACACTGATCTGATCGTTGAATCAAGGCAATTTTCCACAATCGCTTTGGCCTACAGTCATCCGGCCAAGCAAGTATATTCAAATCCATGTCCTTTCTGTCGTCTGTAATATATACAATATTTCAGTACTTTCCGCAGTGTTTACATTTTATCATTTTGAACTTTGTAATTCGGTCTTTTATCAACATACCCAACAGTACAGTGATACAGTGATACTGCCAGGTCTATAGTATGTCAACCTTATTTAAGTCACCGGAAGCAATCACAGCACTCTTCAATAACATACATACATTTATAAATAAGACTATTTTAACCATTTTTAGCACAGAATCCTTGAAACAACCAAGAAACCTTGGTTTTATAGTACAAATTATTATAAGAATCTCTATAAACCTAATCTATCAGAATTTGACCTTTCTTTTGCGAAAGGTTACTTTAAACTTATAATAATATATTCGCGTTAAGAAAATAGGTTCCATGACATTATTGTTGCTTAAGAAAGCTTGGAATCTGATTGGATAGGATGCGGGGCTTAATGGATGTGACACTATTTTCTTAACGAGAATGGCTCTTATTATAAAGTATTTATTTCTAATTACCTTAGAAATACGGTGACCTTCAAATCAAATATAATATCACAAATTCTGTTGTGAATTTCGTATTTATCTTACTACTGTTACCCTTTTTTTTTTTTTTTTTTCGTGCGGAAATCCCCTCGGATACCACGGTGGCATGTCGGACTCGAACCGACCAAAACCGCACGCCTCTCGGGTGCTAACAGCCGGGGAACCAGGTATACCCTAGAAAGGAAGTCCCTGTACACTACTGTTACCCTAAACTCTTCTTTTTCTATTTCAGAGTTAGTATTCTTCACACTGCTGATGGTTTACTCCTCATATGCACGCATAGCAGTAATGTATGCCCATGATAAGCTAAGTGATATGGTAGCCGAACAATGCTTGAGTGAAATGTATCCAAAATTCAAGCGGATTGAGATCCAAGAATCGGATGAACCTTGCATCATTTTCTGTGTACTAAAGAAGTTCGGCATCATGAGCCCTACAGGAGTTATTAACTTAGACATTTACAGGTAAGTAAATAAATTAAGTAGTAGTTCCTTAAATCTGGACGACTTGATGGCGTAGTGGTTTGTGTAACGTACTGCTATTCCAAAGGTCGCGGGTTTGATTCCCGCTCAAGTCGAACATTTGTGTGCATGAACATTTGATGTTTGATTTAGTCTGGGTGTTTCTATGTATAATATGTATGTATTTACAAATAAAAAAGTATATATGTATTTATATCAGTTGTCTAGTACCCATAGTACAAGCTCTGCTTAGTTTGGGACTAGATGGAGTTGTGTGTATGTTTTAGAATATATATATATATATATATATATATATATATATATATATATATATATATATATATATATATATATATATATATATATATAAATATATATATATATAATTCAATCAAGTTTTTTAGAGTGGAATATCCATATAAAATAATGTACTTTACGGCACACGATCAAGCCTTTAATGAGCTACTGAAATCTCTAATACGTTTCCCTATTCTAAACTTACGGTATTCCTTCCTTCCCTCCCCAGCTTCACCCTGTCCATTATCCTAATCCTGTTGTATCTCTTTCCTTAGTTCCGTCTAAGAAAAGAGGTGCAAATGATTACAGTTACAAATGATAACAGTTACAGGTCAAAGGTCAAAGGTACAAAAAATCAAAGTCCTGCGCAATATTAAACTCGATCCCAAATAAAATTGGCAAACTCTCCTTTCGTGGCGTAGATATCAATAATACAATTGATCAGCCATATGTTACGCACTTCCTCAATTTTTACATGAAAATATTTCCTTATACGCACGTGTTCCAATTTCGTTCGCGGCATGCTAACGCTAGTCAGGATGTAAATCACCAAGAAATAAATTATAAATATTTGATTCCAGGAAACGTGTTCAAGTTGCTCATCAATTAGATCAAAGAAACTTAGTGAACGATTACGGAGGCTCTTGTATGGAGAGCGCCGAAGCGGCACAACACAAACAAGATGTGTGCAAAAAAGCCAAAGTGTTCAACGACTGCACACATTTGTACAAAATCCTATTAAAATGAAACCCTCTCTTTGTCTACCTAATCTATCATTTCTTCAGACGACGACTAATTTACTATTGCGGGCTGAGGTTTTGTGTCCATTAATTAATTAGATTCTGGGGCTAAAGTAATTTCTTTGACGCCTGAGGCAAAAACTGTGGTGAAATAAAACCACGATTTGCTTCAACTGAAGTTTTGTTGATAAACATTAACCTCGGTCCTCATTGCCGCTAAAATTTATGAAATAATTTTCTATTGCAAAGAAAATTGGGCACTCAAAAGTTCTGGACTCCCTTAGTAAGAGACAGGTAATATTTTAAGAAACTTTTTTTACATCTGGCAACTTGATAATAAATTTAAGGCGTAAAAAGGACCAATAACATAGGCAACTGTTTAAAAATTTTCTATAATGATTTGTTATAAAAGTAACTACGATTTGCACCAATTTGCATTAAATATAATATTCAGGACATCATAGAATCTAAAACATACCATTTTATGAACTGAAAATAAGCCAAGGATAAACATTCGTGTGTGCGTAACATTGGCGAAAATTAATTTAAAGATGTGCAAAGGGGCTTTCAATTTAGTAAAGTCAAATTTTATTTTATATTCCTAAGTTGCCTTTATTTTTACATAGAATTTGATGAAGGGCATTGCAATAAAATACGTTTCAGAATTCGTTTATTGTATTACAAAACCCGACCTATTAATTGTTGAAAATTAACTTAATTTATCTATTGAATTATCCTGTAGAAAACACTTATGTTGAAAAGAATGGTTAGCTTTATGACTTGGTACAAAAACTAAAACGGCCGAGAAACTGTGGACCAAGAAGTAAGTACTAATAAATTTGTATTTACACATCAGTTGACAAATTATTTTCTCAGCCTAATTTTCTCATTACATTTATTTGGTTTCACTGTAATAACTTCAAAAAGATAATTTCGTTTTAAGGTTTCTATCTTAGAACGACCTCATTAATTTTGTGGTTTCTTGTTAAGGACAAATATGATTAACAAAGGTAGATTTTTTTATTTTTGACGGAGAAGTGGTTTAAAGTCATTGTTTACTTTAATTATTTAATTGTTTTGTTCTCTGTAAGATTATTAAATTAATCTTTAGATGTTCAACTTAAATCACTCGTCTATATGATGACTCGTGAAGAGATTTTTTTCAACGCTCCTTTAAGATTTTTTTTTCCAACAAAAGAAATATGTGTTACTAGCCTTTGTTCCCAACTTCGTCCGCGTGGTGGTCGAAATCAGACATCGTGGTGGAAACAATGAATCAAGATTATGGGTATATTCTCCATACAAACTTGCACCCCTTTTTAAAGGTAGTTTTGAAAAATTTGTAACAACGTTTTTTAATACTTTTAATAAAGACTATTTAATGTGAGTTAGAAAACGATGCTACCAAAATGACGAAGATTTGCATAAATTTCCGACCCCATTTTACAAACTTAGGGGTGGAATTTTTAAAAATCCTTTCTTAGTGCACTATTTTTTTTTTTTATCGGTGGCATGTCGGACTCGAACCGACTAAAACCGCACGCCGTCTCGAGTAATAGCTGGGGAACCAGGTATACCCTAGAAAGGAAGTCCCTGGTGCCCCGACATACCTCGGACCATCTACAGACGAGTAGACACCCCCCCCCCTCCCCCGTGTGGGAACCCCATGTTCCCTCTGCTCCCTGGAAGCGAACGCGCTTCACAACGCGCTCGCCGCCACCCCGGCCTGCTTCTGCTAGGGTGACAGATGGCCTCACCTGTCACCCCCAGGCCTGCGCTTATGGAGGACGGAGGTCGTTCTGCGACCTCCGGCGCCTGAGTCGCCTGCGGTACCTGGCCCGTTCCCGGGCCTGGTGGTCCGGGAGAGTTCTAAACCTCTCCCGGTCCCGCTCTTAGTGCACACCTACGTCACTTACCCAGCTTCTATACTCAGCGGTTTCAGCTGTGCGTTGACTGATTAGCCAATTAATCAGTTTATCAGTTTCTTCTTTTATAGATATAGATTGGACGACAAAAATGAGCAAGCGTAGAAGAATATTGAATTTGCAACAATGCGTTTAAAAATTAAATTTAATTAAAAAATTATCAGTGTGGTGACGGTTTAAGAATACAGAGTGTCACCACCCCTATTCATCCCGTGGGTGTCGTAAGAGGCAAACTACGCAGGACAACAGCATTGCATAGAGAAGGAAAACTTGACACAAACCCTATATCAACCCGTCTGGCCAGCGTGGTATAGTAGGCCAAAGCCTCCTTTCTAAGGAGAGGCCTATGTCCAGCAGTGGACTAGTAAAGGCTGATGATGATGATTGATGATGTTTAAAAATTACTTGAAAATGACTACATAGAGCACACACAGATTGGTCAAACTATACAATGACAGTTTAAATTATGACTAGATAATTAAAGCAACAAAAAAAAAACAATTTTCATTTTAAATCAAAGGTTGCCAGTAAGAGATTGCATTTTAGCGATAAGGCCGCCATTTGTACATGGTCATTAACTTGGAATACTATTGTATGTATAATATCCTGTATTGGTGTACAATAAAGATTATTCTATTCTATTCTATCATCATTTCGTTTAAAATATGTGCAAGCTTTACATGTGTATTCATAATACGTATCAAGCAAGACACATAAATTATAAAATGATTTGTTGCAAACCCAACATACTCGTTCAATTTAACAGAAGAAAGGGATCTTAAATACCTAGTGTGGCAGTGATTATTTCTAATAACCACTAATTTAATAATAATATCTTCACATATCTCACACATGGTTTGATTCCATACTAGGCAGAGCCTGTACTATGGTAACTAGACTGAAGATGACATACTTACATATTATAGATAAATCACACCTAGGCACAGAACAAAAATGAACATCCTCATCACACATTTATTCTGGGTGGGAATCGAACCCACGACCTCTGACTTACCAGTCAGGGTCAGTCATTCGTTGGACTCTCGCATAGTATTAGGGAACTATTGGTGAGCATCTTAGATATACCTATTGCCAACAAGGCAAAGTACAATAGAATAGGAGAAGTATGGGACAGTTTTCCCTTCTGTCTTCCTGAGTATACACGGACACCACCATAACTAGACCAATAGGCTGAATTACAAAAAAAAGCCGTTGTCTTACAAAGATGTCAGGCAAAAAATAACATTATTTATTCTGTCTCAAATAATTTTATAGATAAGAAACATAATTGAAGTGCTTCTGTACAAAACAGGCTTAACAAAATCTGAAGCTATTTGAAATTCAAATTGGAAATCCTTTAAAGGCAATCTAAAAACCATTTTTTAAATAAAAGCAATTTTGTCCCAAAAGCGTTACTCTGTCGTGTTTTTAAAGGATAAGAACCATAACATCATTATAAGCTTACTTTAGTAATAATGAATATTCTAAAAGATTTTAGGTCAGGAGATAAGACATAAACGTATTGGTTAACTTAGGTTTTGTTTGTAATATTTGCGGGTTCCACCTCGATAAGGATTAAAGTTTACTTTAAATACTGAAAACCAGCACTGTGTGATATAGGTGTGGTTGGGTGAACTGACGGGCCTGAGTTATTAAAATTGGTTAGAAAAGAGAAAAAAGGATGATTCGGAGATGTATGTACAACACAGATTACAAGACTGAGAAGGATTAAAAATCTGTAAAATCGGGATAAACAAATGGCTCGAAAAGCAATTTTTTTTTCCAAAATGTTTTTTAACAAAATATGACATTATTTTAAAAACAACATTTTTTCATCAGTTATTTTTATTCTGACAGATTAGCAAAATATTATTGATTTTATTTTCCAACGGCGACCCGATTAACCTGAAAAAGAAAACATTAAATAAGAAAAATAGAAATTTTGAAGAGCAACCTTAAGAGCAAACTTAAAAGCAAGGTGTAATAACTTCCACCAAAAATTAACGCTAAGTGGTCGATTCAACAAATTTGCTCTCACACTTTGTGTGAAACGACCCTCTTTAATATTAATATTTTTAATGGACACCTCTAAAAAAATGTCTCATTTTGTATTTTAACGAGAAAAAAATAAAATTACAGGTGTGAACATATATTATGTTAATTTGACAATTTATTATATTGCCAATGGCGGCAGACGAGCCCACGGCACTGATGGTAAGTGGTTACCGCCGCTCGTAGACTTCGTCAATGCCAGGGACACAGCCAAGCCGCTGCCTACCGTGTTTTATCTGATTATCAATGTGAAAGTTTGGATGGATCGATAGATGTATATCTTAGCGCTAATGTACGTAAATCAGTCAGAGTGCAGCAATCTGCAGATTATCTGGTCTAGTCCGATAGAGTGCGCTACTGTACCATTTCGTTAAATAAATTTCATTTAAGAAAATGTCTGCGAATCGCCACTACATTTTTCTATAAATGAAGTCTGTGCGAATCGACTACTAAGCTAAAGTTACTACAGATACTTAAGAAATACATGAAATTACCGCTCAGCAGTTGAGAGATAACAAACATGGCTATCTTTTGTATCCAGCACCAAATAGAACAGCCCTTTTTCTGAGGTTCTTCTTCTTCCTCTTCTTCACCTTCAGCTCTTGTGGTTGCCGGTACTGTGGTTTCCTCTTGGCATACCACTAAACCTATGAAGAATGTCAGATACACCACTATAAGCAACTGCAGGATTTTCTTCGACATCATTTTTATAATTGTTTTGATATTTTATCTACATGTGCGTTTTTGAAAGCGAATAAAATGTAATGAAGGAATGATTTCGGTTGTTTTAATGACTCGTAATTGGGTCGTTGTTATTTTGATAGCGATCTGTTATGCTTCATACTTTCAAATGACATGTATTATAATAATTACGTTTATAAAATTATGTATATAGTAATCACAATTATTAAGTACTTGTAAAATTGATGTAGATGAAAGGAAATCATTATTTTGAGGTAATGAAACAGTGACTGAAATGGGATATTTTAAACCTTAAATCGGTTTTGACCTAAAAAGGTTAAGGTAAGCATAAAAGATTTGGTCAAACCTATTATTTTATGCTTGCATAAAAACTTGAACTTAAACCTACTACAAATTTAACGTCTTAAAATAAAATATCTGGACGTTTCTATGTATAATATGTATGTATTAACAAAAAAAAAGTATATATGTATTTATATCAGTTGTCTAGAACCCATAGTACAAGCTCTGCTTAGTTTAGGACTAGATGGCGTTATGTTAATGTGGTATAATATGATTATTATTATTACTCAGTCATCATCAAGGGCAGATATAGGTATTGAGTTTTTAAGAAATAATAAAAATATGTAAGCATTGCATATGATGTTTGTTTCATAAATCAAACTAACTACTATGAGATGAGATGAAAGAACGATTCACTAGAGTATATCAGTAGGAAATATAACTTACTTCGTCAAATATGTATAATTATCCTACTTACTACATTAATATGTGTAGGTACGTACATAAACATTTACCGACTAAAAAATTATGTTCTCTACATGTAAAACTTCAAAATGACTCTCTATTTAGTAATTTTACAACATATCATATTACATATTAAAACAGGATTTATTTTCTATAACAATATTAGCTTGCAATTAATATACAAACTCCCTATTCACGTAGCAATACGACTCTTTTATTTTTTTCCAAATAAATACATTTTATCGACAAGTGATGTCTCTCATGTGATGATCATTGCAAAAAAATATAAGAATGCCCATTTCAGTGTGAAACTTAGTTCTACCCTCTTTTTGCTGTCCCAAATATATGTATATAAACTGCATTATTAAGCATGCATTGATCATGCATTGTATCATCTAAAATATAAACGTATATTACAACAGAATTTGTGGTTATTGAGAAATTAAATGTGAAAACATCAACAACGAGAAAATATTGTGACACTAAAATAATAATATAGTGAGTTTCATTTTAATAATGTTTGTGGCATCGTGTTCTTGATACCAGGGATACCATGGATAAATTAATGCAAAACTAACACTGAATACGACTACATACGCGAAATCATAAAATTACTAATTTATTTATTTTAAAACGATATTTAACTGCACTAAACCATTAAAGGTTTATTTTATATAATGGCAATATTTAAGTTACAATAGAACCGGTCATTAATTCAAGTTTTAGTTCTTGTAAGATTTAATTTCAAACCCTAAGTTCTATAGAAGAGATCAGGGTCGAAAAGTCACATTAAAATCGATATGTTTTTTAACATTTACAATAATGACGCGAACGTCTAAAATTGAAACCAGGAGTGGACATTCTGCTTTGGACCTAGTCCAATGTTTGAACATTGGATTATAGGTTTTGAACCGTAACCGTGACCGGTGAACCGTGGTTTTTAAATTAGGTACCTAATACAAAGAATAATAAAACTATTTTCTATATGTACTTTAGCAGTACGTACAAGGATGTTGAGCAAAAGTTAAAATAACTCTTGTTAAAACCAAAATAAATTCTGAATAGAACTACAAAGTGATGTGGTTTAAACTTTGTTTCCAAGTATTCAACTTTAACATTAGTTCATAAAACTAATTATCAAACCTAACTAATTTATGTGCTATGTTTAATAATAATAATAATAAAAAAAAAAAAAAAAAAAAAATGTCAGTTTCTCAGAATGGATGTAGAAGTGGGAGCCGTGGCACTAAAGACCTCCTTATTATAGACAGGGCCATTAGCCAACAGGTGCGTCGTAATCGTAAGAGTTTGGCGACATGTTGGATAGACTATAAGAAGGCTTATGACTCGGTTCCACATACATGGCTTTTGAGGGTGCTGGAGTTGTATAAAATTGATACAACTCTGTGCACTTTCTTGAAGTCATGTATGGGGCAATGGAGAACAGCGCTTCGTTATCCAGGATGTCGGCAGACGACGGTAATTGATGCACCAATAAAGATCGAGCGGGGTATATTTCAAGGTGATAGTCTGAGTCCCTTGTGGTTTTGCCTGGCTTTGAACCCTCTTAGCACTTTATTAGAGGGTTCAGGGCTAGGCTATAGGTTGCAGAAAGATGATCAAGTTATATCTCACCTTCTTTATATGGATGATTTGAAACTACTAGCCCCCACCAAATTACAATTGTCAGCGTTACTAAAGGTGACGGAAAACTTTAGTAATTCTATCAAAATGGAATTTGGTGTAGACAAGTGTGCAGTCATGTATGTAAAGAAGGGTGAGATAGTAGAATCTGAAGGAATTGAGCTTTCCGATTCAACAAAACTCAGATCTCTGTCTGCCACTGAAACTTACAAGTATTTGGGTATATCACAGTCGTTAGGCATACCAGAATCTGACATGAAACAAACGTTGCAGGAACGCTTTTTTGGCCGCTTGAAAAAAGTACTTAAAAGTCTTTTATCAGGGGGCAACAAGGTGCGAGCCTGCAATGGTTGGGTCATGCCGATTCTGATGTATTCCTTTGGTATACTTAAATGGACTCAGACCGAACTAGATGCCCTTGATAGGAGAGTCCGTACATTGCTGACTGCATTTCGAATGCACCACCCACGTTCATCGGTTATGAGATTGTATATCCCGCGAAAGCTAGGGGGTCGCGGATTATTAAATATCAAGACCCTACACAATCGGGAGATATGCAATCTCAGAGAATATTTTCTACATACCGATGTGGGAATGCATCGCAAAGTAGTTGCAGTGGATATCGGATTCACCCCGCTCGCTCTGGCTAAAGAGAATTGGCGCAAACCTGTAGTATTTAGTACTAATGATCGTAGGGAAGTATGGAAGGGCAAAGAGCTCCATGGCCGGTTTTATCGGGCCCTAAACGGGTCCGATATAGACTTTAAAGCATCTACGACTTGGCTACGGTATGGTGATCTCTTCGGAGAAACTGAAGGTTTTGTTTGTGCGATTATGGACGAAGTTATCATGACGAATAACTATCGGAAATATATCCTGAAAGATGGTACGGTTGACATCTGTCGGGCATGCCACCGTCCTGGGGAATCAATCAGGCATATCATTTCTGGTTGTTCTCGTCTTTCTAACGGTGAATATTTGCATAGGCACAACCAAGTAGACAGGATTGTACACCAACAGCTTGCCCTTAAATACCATCTTGTAAATCTAGAGGTGCCATACTACAGGTATGTGCCCGACCCAGTTCTCGAGAATGGTCGGGCCACGTTGTATTGGGATCGATCTATTATCACAGACAGGACTATTGTTGCTAATAAGCCTGATATTGTAGTGATAGATCGATTAGAGCGCCGCGCAATGATTGTTGATATCGCCGTTCCTCATGACGAGAATCTCGTGAAAGTTGAAAAAGAAAAACAAATAAAATATTTGGATTTATCTCACGAGATTGTCGATATGTGGAATGTCGGTTCAGTGATTATTGTTCCGATAGTCGTATCTGCTCACGGATTGATAGCCAAGAGCCTCGACCAACACCTTAAGAGGCTCACGTTGGACGGCTGGATCAAGGGTCTGATACAGAAGGCAGTCCTCCTTGACACGGCTCGTATAGTGAGGAGGTTCCTATCTTTGCAGTCCTAACCATTGGTGTCTTGGTACCTGTACCCGATGTCGGTGGTCTACTATTTTTTATATTTTTAAATGTATTTTTATTTCTTTTGTAATATATTTAAAAATGTAATTAATATGTATATATAATTTAATAAAGAGAATAATAATAATATCGATACTCTTAACTATAAAAAACACATAATCCGTACCCCTAACCTTCCTACCGACTTATGTAGACGATGCCATAGCAGTTCCGAAACCATCCAACACATCACTGGTTCTTGTAAATCTATTGTACAAACTGATTATAAACACAGACATGACCAAGTTGCAGCAATAATCCATCAAAATCTAGCTCACAAATACTCATTTATTTCAAATAAAACTGCTTATTATAAATATAAACCCAGTACAGTTCTAGAAAATAATGCATTTAAAATATATTGGGATAGGACAATAATTACCGACAAAACCATACATTATAATAGACCGGATATAACAATACTAGACAAAACTAACAAAATAGTTTTTATTATAGACATAGCAGTATGTAACACACACAATCTCCTCACGACGCACACAGAAAAGATGACTAAATACATAGACTTAGCAACGGAAATAAAAAGGCAATGGCAGGTAGATAGAGTTAAAATAGTACCGATTGTCATATCTACAACTGGCGTAGTACCGAAGACTCTTCAAGATAGCCTCAACACATTGGAAATGCCGAAATCCTCTCTCATACTCTTACAAAAAGCAGTCCTTCTTAACACATGTCGTCTCACACGCAAATTTCTCGCTTCATCCTCATCATCTTAACTTCATATCATCATCCCTTTTTGGCACACTTGGCTAAGGCCCGTGTGTTAGATTTTGTTACCCCTTTAAAATAAAAGGGAGACCAGACAAGGTATAAAATGACATAATAATAATAATAATAAATCTTTATTTCGGAATAGTTTCCATATAATGTTTATGATATTTCTTTATTTTGGTTACATTACTTATGTAGCTATCTGTAACCATTTTTTAAACATGGAACTGTTACATACCCTGTCAGCAAGTTCCTTAATTATAGTGTTCCTACACGAACCAACCCGGGCCATAAACGCCGCGATTCGGCTTCTTTGGATGGCATTAAACGTGTTCAGTCTTGCCTC